GTTCTATTTGACGATATATATATATATATATCGTCAAATAGAACTGCCCGGTAAACCGTAGGCAGAGAGGGAGAAGAGGACAACAAACGAGGGGCTGTGACAACTGTTTATATATCTGTTTGACTATATATATATATACGAGCTAATCTGACTATCTGAAGGACGGGTCATTCTTTTCTTGCAGCTGAAGTCACCGGGATTGGAAATGTCGACCACTCAGAGTGAACTTGACCTATCTTATCGCCAGCGGTACCAGAATGTCAAAATTCCGGAGGCATATGAGCGACTCATTCTTGATGTGTAAGTGGCATCTCATGAGATGTTCGGATATGTTTTGGATATAATTTTGATATAATTTGGATATGTTTTGGGTATAATTTGAATATGTTTTGGGTATAATTTGGATATAATTTGGATATATTTTGGATATATTTGGGAGATCAGCACGTTGAAGGTTGGTCAACAGGAAACCTTTCGTCTGACGCGAGAGAGGGTCGTGACCAACGCCCAGAGAATAGGTCGACTAGGGGGAAGCAGCTTCAGAGTGCTGTGCTTGAGGTGGGGTCTCGCCTCAGTGAAAAAGGCAGAGAGAGACCAAATGCTAACAAAAAACACAGGAAATTCAAAATTGCAGTACTTTACTTACCAAAGGACAAGTAAATATATTGAAATGAGAAATCTATGAGCCTGGCTTGAGAAGAAAAAGAAGGATTTCGTGCAACAGAATGAATCAAAGAACTATAATTTGGATATAATTTAGATATAATTTGGAAATTGGATAAATATTATAATTTGCATTTAATTTGGATATATGTTGGATATAATTTGGATATATTTTGGATATATTTTGGATATAATTTGGATAGCATATTTGCCAATTATTATTTGAACATTTGGATAAATTGGACGTTTGGACATCTGGATTTTTTGGATATTTTGGAATTTTCAATTATGGATATGTCGCGTGTTTTTTTTTTTTTTTTTGGCCCCCTTTTTTTTTCATTTTTCCCTCCCCTCTTCTTTTGGCCCCTTTTTCTCCTTCCCTTCTTTTTCTTTTTTTTTTTGTTTATCTTTTTCAAAAAGATATCATCGTCGTATTGACTGGCACTGGCCCCAGATACGTCAGAATTGTTTTTTTGAAATTTTTTCATGTATCTTATTCCAGATGGACTCGAACTCCGGTCTGTATTTCGACAGCTCGTGGGTGTACCAACTGAGCCAGGCCCCGTTTGGATAGAATTTGGAAATTTTGGGTACATTCATCACGTATATTATATATCATTGTTTCCCTCCCCTCCCCCCTCCCCTTCATAATACATTTACCTGGGCTATCTACCGGGCCGTCGGGGCATCCGGCCAGTGCGCAAAATTGCAGAGGGCTACTTTTATAGGCAGTTTTGCCCCTCTCAGACACCGTCCTCATCGAATCGTTTTCTGGGGCTGTTGCAGGGAAGAAAAATCAGCTGCGAGGAATCGGACCCCTCGGCAGGCTAGGAGAACGGGCCGACAAATTAAAAAAAAAAAAAAAAAAAAAAAAAAAAAAAAAAAAAAAAAAGAAAGAAAGAAGAAGAAGAAGAAGAAGAAAAAGAGGCCAAGTCGGTGCCAACCATCCTTTGCAGCCAACTCACGGGCGCAGATTCTGAGTCGGTTACAGAGGCCGGGCGTCCACTCACTCAGACCCTGGGACAGGGGCGAAGCTTGTCGCAGCCTCTGCCTCATCCAGAACAAGAGTGCAGGATGAGGCAGAGGTTACCTTGGGCAACACGTTTGGGTGTTGCGCCAATGAAGCACTGTTGCTTGCGCGGCAGCTGAGCGCTGTGCCAATGGAAGGGAGAAGAAGCTGATGTGGTGGCAGCGAGGACGAAGGCACCAGCCAGCTAAGCTGAGCGGTGGAAGTGTTGGAGATCGGAGGAGAAGGAAGGCGGTGGGGAACAACAGTACTCGCCTGGTTTCGACGAAGGGTGCCTCTGTGAGCAGTCTAAATATGTGTCGAGAGATCGCCAGTTGGACTATCACACCTACAGTCTTCTCCCGAATACAACGTACGGTCGTTATGGCTGACTGAATTTGGTGTATCTTTCGGTCTAAATTCATCTATAAAGACCGTACGTCGTATTCGGGGGAAGACTGTAGCGCACCCCTGAAGATGACGGGTATCCGGCGGACCGGTTGGAAGACTCGAAACACGTGTCGGGAGATCGCCAGTTGGACTATCAGGGTAATGGCGCTTTGCAACATCTTAAAGTTTTCATTGTGTGCTTCATTGAGTATTCTTCAATGCGCTGATGCGCTCGGCGGACTGTTCATCTGTGTTGTCTCTTCTCTCTCCTTTGTCTGTTTGATGCGTTGAGTGCTTCACACTGGCTTGATTGTTGCGTAGAGACTATTCTCACCCTGCGAGAAGAGTCTTCACGAAGCATCAGGCGATTGACACGAGGACAGAGAGTGGCATGGGGAGGATAGGCTAGAGTGATAGGAGGTAGGAAGTAGGAGAGGGCACTCACTCAGGAGGCCGCCAGTAGAGCTAGTGCATTGTTGTTGTTTTGATGATTGGAGGCGGGTGAAGGGCTTTTTCTTTCTCAAGAGACTTCGGTTTATGCATTTCGCTCTTATTTTTTTGTGCATTTCGCTTTGGTTTCCTGCTTTCAAAATTCATCTCAGTCATGTTTGGTCTTCCGGGAGATGTTGCAGTCTGGTTCATTTTGATGTCCTCATTGCAATGTTCCTTGCACAGGGGGCCGGTAGGCGCCCATTTTCTTTTTCTATGCAAATCCTGCGATCCGGGCTGTCGATCTGCAAGCAGAAAACCTGCCTCCTTTCTCTCTCTTCTCTCCTTCCCCCCCCCAAAAAAAAAAAAAAAAAAAAAAAAAAAAAAAAAAAAAAAAAAAAAAAAAAAAAAAAAAAAAAAAAAAAAAAGTCAAGAGGGGTGCCATTACTACTACAGTCTTCAAACCGAATAGAGCGCCTGGTAATTATCACCGTACCTGGACTGAAAGTTGCACCATATACAGCTATAATGAGCGGGCGTTCTGTTCGGGTGAAGACGGTAGCAGGGATAAGATTTAGATTTCATTTTCTGTTGCGATTCATGTTCTGAACTATGATCATAGCATGCTATATCATTTCTGTAAATGACAATAGTAGTGATAAATTAATAAATTATTTTTTATTATTTAATGATAATAAAAGATATTAATTTGTTGATGACCCTGTTGTCTGTTTTCCATGCGTGTATGGGTCCACTCGATTCATCCTGGACTGACCGGTGTTATCTGGTGGTTCTGTACTGTTTTTTTTTTTTTTTATGACGACATGGGTCGGGGGGGGGGGGGGGGGGGGGGGGGGGGGGGGGGGATGGGGTTGAGAAATGGCATTTATGGGGGGCTTGACCGTTTTATCGTGTCCTTGTAATCGATGCATCAGCATCAAGGGAGAGCCAAGCAATTTCGTTCGAAGGGATGAGCTGCGGGTGAGATGCATGCTTGTGGCCTTGCTGAGCTGGTCCCACTACCCCATCCTGCCCTCGTCCTTTTCAGCCCGCTCTGGCCGTCTTGTTTTTTTTTTTTTTTTTTTTTTTTTTTTCTTAAGCCCGCTCTGGCCGTCAACCTGTAAGAAAGACGAAGGAAGAAATTTGACGCACCTGGAAATGGGAAAGTGAAATTGGGCGAGACGGTTTGCCAATGGCGAGGCGATCTTGCAGGCTTTCGATGGATGGTTGTGCTTTGTCGTGACGAACCTGGTCTCAATAGCATACCAAATGCCTGCCAGTCCACCTCATGCACAGGCATCGGAGGAGCTCCTGCGTTTACTTGCCGGACCCTCTCTTTTCTGCTAGGCTCTGTTGGCCAAGTGAGGCCCACCAGTGCCCAGTGTGTGGCCCAGTGGGCCCTGAGTGAGCCCTAATAGGACCTGTTGGGCCCCACTTTATGGGGCCAAATGGTCCCATTGTGGGGCCCAGTGGCCCAGTGGCCCAGTGGACCCAATGTGTGGCCCAATATGTGGGTAGATGGGGCCTGGTGGGCCCCACAGAAATGCCCCAATGGGCCCACTAGGCCCACTGTGTAGGCCAATGGGGTCTCGTGGGCCCCACTGGGACATTGTGCAGGAACCAGCCAGGGACCTGCTCACTGGGACAACACATTACCTTGGTGGGCCCATCCATTGGTGTCCATCAGCATGTTGATGTTTGCCTTCTCCCTCCTTCAGCCTGACCTTTTCCAAGTTTGCAACACCCTACCCTCCCATACTCCACCTGACCATTCCCACCTATACAACTGGTGGCCCCGACAATATAGAACCCTAAGGCTTGATCAACCATGGGAACTCAAGAACCATTGGAACTCAAGAACACCTAGGTACATGAATGACAAGTCTTGTCAATGAGACAAATGCGCATGCCATGAGGGTGGGAGAAAAAAAGTCGTGAGACGGAATTCAAAGCATACCGAGGTCACGCCTCCAGAAAACCAATGGTCTGCTAAGAAGAAAAGAAAATCATGAAAAAAAGGCATGGGTGTAGACACCAACATGCATACATGCGTATCTTTTTGACGGGTGACCCGTGCCATGTCTAGACCCGCGCGGCGCCCACACCTGGCCATTGTCTTTTTTGTTTACAAAAGGCCACCCGCAACTGCCCCCTTTTCTTCACCACAATTGGCCCCAACCCGGACCAGGGCTATCCTCCCATGAGTGTGGCCAGGTGGGACATAGGCTGGCCAGACCTGCCCGCAGCTGTCAGGTCCGACCGGGGGCAGCTGGGCGCGGCTACGGGCAGCCGTTTGCAGGCTCTGCTACAGCACTACCTCCACGGAAGCCAAAGTAAAGATAGTGAAGAAAGGGATAGAACGGATCTATTGCGGTTCATGTTGCTTGTTAGAGGTAGAAGTGAGTCATTGCTAGATTGAGTCATCTTTAGTGTGCTTCATTGTCTGCAATAGAGGGAAAGCTGCTTTGATGTTGGATCTACTCATCTGGGTGGAACAGGGGCTGTTGTGGTGAAAATCTACAACACACACATACACCACTGTCTGTCTCACAAACACACGCACACTGTGCGTGCCAATTGGCGTGCACGCCCAGTAGGCGGAGGAGATGACAGTGAAGAGGAGGAGGAGGAGGAGGAGGAGGAGCAGGAGGAGGAGGAGAAAGGGAGGACTGAAGGACGGAAGACAGACAAAGAAAGTGTGTGCCTCGTGGTACAGTGGTACATGCATCAAGGAGGAAGGAAGGGCCAGGAGGAGGAGGAGGTGACCGGGAAGACGACAAATGAGGAGGAGGACGAGGAGCAGGAGGAAGATGAATGTTGAGATGATGAAGGAAAAAGAAAAAACTGCATGCCACGTGGCACGTGTGTGCAGGGGGACGGTTGAGGGCAAAGAGTAGTAGGAGGTACAAACGAGGAGGCGGAGGAGGAGGGGAGAAGAGCGAAGATGGAGATCAAGATGACGAAGGTAGAAAACGGGGGAGGACAAAGACGGAGATCAAGATGATGAATGGAAAACAAAAGTGTATGCCACATGGCACGAGCGTGGAGGAGAGAGGACAAGGACGATGAGGAGGAGGTGACATGGAAGAACGAGGAGGAGGTGACGGGGAAGAACGAGGAGGAGGAAGAGGTCTCTCTCTCTCCTGTCTCTTATACACATCTAGATGTGTATAAGAGACAGCCCTTGGATGACGCAGGTTAGCTATTACAGACACTGCCT